CCTGCCCTGCCTCCCCGCAGCCCGGCCGGGCGGGGAAGCCACACGGGGCAGCGGGAGGAGCTGCTCCGGCTGAAACGTTGCGCCCGGAGAGCTCCCTCACGGCCTCTTAAAGCAGCGCTTAAAAGTTTAATGGAGAATAAAACTGTTGCCGTAACCGTGCAGAGAAGGTGGAGGTCTGTCGGTATCGATCCACGCACCCCCGAGCCCGCTTCTACCCGAGGCAGAGGGGCTGGTCCGTAAGAAGTGCTGGTTTGGCTCTGGGAGATCCCATCTGGCCCCTTGGCATTTCACAGCCCTGCTGGGATAAACCCCAGCAAAGCGAATGATTAGGAAAAATGACACAGAGTTTGAAAGCAACTCACTAAACCTAGTGTTTTTAAAGGTTTCAGGATTTCGTCTAGGACAACAAATGTCCTCCAGATGTTAGCACACAGGTCTAAAAATCGTGTTTCTGCAAGTACAATCAAAATCTCATTTCCTAGCGAATTCCTGGTAGTGGGTCAATTAAACCTCTGCTTTAAGCATGTTTGAGCTGAAGAGTTTTCTTCATCTTGTTAGAGTGGACTTGGTGCAAATTCTGGTCCCATTGCCAGGAGTGTGGATTTACACCCTGATTTCACCAGAACCTGAATTTGACCCTTCGTTTAGAAACCGTTTCCTTCAGTCACACAAAAATGCAGAAGATTACAAGAAAGAAGTATTACGTTAGATGCCAATCCTGCTTTGTTTTTAATAAAACTCTCTGGGTCTGCTCATACGTGGTTGCAGTTAAATTTAGTTGCAAAAAATATGTGGGATTTTTCCTACTGGTTTTGCAGGGAGAAGGAAAAAGGGTGAAGAATTAAAAAGTAAATCTTGCTTCTTTGACTAAAAAGATGTTTCCAAAAGTTTTGACACCAGAAGAGTCTTCCAGCTTAGAATACAAGAAGATGATATGCTTGCGGACATGCTGGAATTGTACAAGGTTTTATCCTAGGCTTTTTGCCTTTTTCTGGGTTTGTTCTAGCCTGTCAGAGGGTACGGACACCCAGGCCAGCCTGCCACCGCCCGCCCTTTGCTTGGGGGTCAGTGGCAGTAGTCTCGGTGGACACCTGCTCCAACAGTGCAAATAACTGGCATGAGCTTTTCTGTAAAAAGCTGCAAAAAAACCCCACCAAAACCTGAAATGCAGACAAAAAAACGTGGCTGTCCTAAGTTTCCAGTAAACTTATTGCTTTAAAGGTCCTTTGTTCCAAAGCCCATTTTTTATGAAGAGTTCAGTGCATTATTCACAGCTTAGTGCCTATTCCATCTTACATTGTGAACATTACTGAAGGTATTGGTAAGAGATTAAAACTTTGTGGAGCCAAAAACCTTGTAAGTCAACCTCACATTCACACACACACACACACTGTCACAGCTTTTCAACAACAGATCCATAATGTTACCTTAGCTATACATTGTATTAGACCTCGGAAACTGTATGAACCACACAACGCAGCAATGTCTGTGACTATAGGTTTTAGGTCAAATACAGCAGGAAATTAAAGGCCAATATCACAAATCTCACATTACCACACAGCTACCAAGGCCTCTCTCACATCCAAAGCATCATACCCTGCCACGAGGAGAATTCCTTGCCTGTCTCTCTGACATGCTTTACAGGAGCTGAACGCTGTGTAAGTGAATGGTGTCACTCGGGAAACTCTTCCAACAGGTTTTCTGCTGCGCAAACCATGTAAGGATCATAAAGCTCTATTCACTGCTGGGTATGTCATTCCATTCATGGAAGAGGTGAAAATTTCAGGTGTAAGAAAGACATATTTATAGCAGCCAGACAATAAGATAAAGGTGATTTTGCTAGTTCAGAGTACTGAGAGTTTGTCAAGCCCACATCATCTCATACATCCCTTCCCAACCCATGCTGGGTTGCTCTGAATCGTGTTTGTAAGAACGTTTCCAGAGCAAAGAGCTGGAAACCTGCCCCAGCATCGTTGCACTCGGCTGCACCTAGTGATTACATGCAATGTTAAGCATGAAATTGATACTGATTTTTGCTGCACTGTACTTTTGTCAGACTAGGGCTAGTCCTTATGCCTTTTTTTTCCATTCCCCAAATTAGTCAACATGGTTGTTTTTACAAATAATATATCTAACCAGTCCGTTGCAAATTTCTTTCTTTCAACAGACCTAGGTAATTCAGCGGGGAGTTTTATTTATACCTAGAACTCCAAACATGTCCTGCTCTAGCTAGTAAGTAAATTCAGGGCTCTTGAGGTTTCAATACTAGTTTAATCAGCATCTAGTCTGATCTTGTTTGCTTAATTCTAACAGTATTGGTGTGCAGATAGGGGAAGGCTTAGATAAAATGCTGCTGTTCAAATTAATCAGTAGAGTTTTCAGTTTTCCGAGCAGGTGTCCTTTTAGGAAGCTGAATGAGTAATGCTCTCCTGTCTGTCCAGACATGGAGAGGGTTCCTCTGCCCACAGAAAGCTGTAACATGGAGAGCAACTTGGGGGGGGAAAGCAGTTAATGGAAAACTTGTAGAATACCCTTCTAAAGAGAAAAATTGTCACTGGGAAGGCTGCTAGAGAAAGCGAACACCTTTGCCCCGTGATTCACCTGGAGCTCAGCTTGGAGCTGAAGTCTCAGTAAAGAAAATTGAGGTTGCTGTTACAAGAAGCCTTTATTTGTTCTCGCTAGGTATGGAGCTTTCTATAAAAATGTCTAAGGATGGCAAGGGTTTCTAGCGTATTCTCTGTTGGCGTACAGGTTTCTGTAAAAGTGCTTAAAGGTTGCCAGATATCTTTCTTTATGTTGAATTAATTGCTGTCTGAATGCCTTCTATAAGATACTCAAAACCCTAATCGGAACATGATCTGGTTTGTTGCCAAATGCAGCTGTTTTCCGTTTATTACTGCTGTTGTGGTGGTGACTTTTGCTGCCTTTAGACAGTCTTAGTCTCTTCTTCCATGGCTAAAGAAATGCTTTGAGCAAGTCAAAGGCTCAGGATTTTAATCCTGGGAAATTTATGAGGATTTGTATTCTGCAAGATAACTTTTCACCAAAAAGTAGGGGGCTTTCAGCATAATCTTCTTCAGGAAAACTGACAGTTTTGGATTGTAGCTACTCGTAGTCAAAACATGATTGTCTGCCATGTTTGGTAGAGTTGTTCTAGTCATTAAAGTTGCAAAAAAGCACTATAAGCATAAAAAGAAGGTCAAGTTTTTTATGAAATAAATTCATCATGCAGGATGAGAGTTAAAGCACTGCTAAAAAAAAAAAGGAGGCCTGTTTATTTGTAGAGGATTCAGCTGTCTTGTTAAATAGCACATAAAACATCTACATAGATATGAACAGGTGTCTCCTGTGGTCTGTCTCCAAGTTTGAAGTATCTGTATACACATGTATTCCACATACACTATTTAGTAAGTAAGGCTGAGTTTGATAGCCCTTCCCAGAGCCACAAGACTTAGATCCTGCAGATCTTTAAAATCACAGCTCTGGGAACCAAGTGTGGGAAATGCTGGGGACACCAGGGAGGCAAGCAGACACCCCATCCGTTTACCATCCCCGGGAAGGAAACGTCACCGGAAGGCAGGCAGGAGGACCTCTGGGACTCGATACAGCCTCCTGAAAAAATGCCTTGTTTACAACCTGTATTGGTCTAGCTTTCTGGCTACCGGAGCAAAACTAAGCAGAGAATTTCCCCCAGACCACACTCATAACAGATTACAACTCTGAATTCAAGGTTCTGAAAGGGCTGTAGTACAAGACCAAGAAGTGAGTAAGACTGAGGGCCAACTCCCACTCTGGAAAACATAGAATTAAGAAATCTGCCATAGGAGACAGGCCTTCAGGGTTAACCCTCAGGATTAGGTTTGCAAAAGCCCAGTTCATTGTCTGGAAATGTCTAAAAGTGGCCAGGAAACACAGAGCCTTAAGATTATGCTCCAAGTTTTCCTTTGCTTATTAACTGAAACCCCATCCAGGTCCAGATTCTAGTATTTTTACACATAGGCAACTGTATCTGACCATCCCTGTCTTACTGCATTTCTCTCTTTCCATACTGGAGGTTGAGTGTGATGTTTAAAGCAGTACCATAGAGCAGCCTACACCCCTAAATGTCACCAGAAGAAGCAGCATGTCGCCCTTCTTCTCCCTCATTGCAGCCTTGCTGACCTGGCTGATAGCAATCAGGGCCTTTGGGAGTCAGAGAGTTCAACCATTCCCTTGCAGAACTGTTAACACAGCAGCTTCCCAGCCTGTCCGGATTTCAAGGCAGCGAAGCAAACGGGCATTTGGAGGGACAACGGGCCTTTGCACGTTTATAACCTTGTGGAAGGAACATACCAAAAACCACGGAGAAAGCTCCTGCTTTTCTCATCGTGTCACATCGTTCAGATTTTCAGCACGTTCAAGGCACAACAAAATCTGCCTGAGACAGTTTAACCAGAGCCTCAGCCAGCACTCTCTCATTTAATCTGAAGGATTAAAATCATCGGGGCATAAATCTACGGATTCGTTCAATGCTGTCGTTGGCAGAAAAGGAAAACTTTAGAACTGAGCTTACTCATGTTGAATCTACCTTGTGAAATGGTATAACCTCAGACTTTCCATACCTGAAAGAGGCTCAATATACATTTTGCACTTCTGCAGATACCGCATCAGTGTCTTTGCTTTAAGCACATAATCAGTATCTCTCAGTTCTTTTATTTCAGAGACATTAAAGGCTCTCCTTGATGATCTTTAGTATGCCTTGAGCCAGTTCTTAAATTACTCCTATCTAGAGTTTCATTCCATCTGTAACCTACTGCTTATATCACCGCATTAACACCTACCTTATGCTTCCTTATGCCTTTTACAAGTTTTGATTCATCTAGGGGAAATTTAATAATGGTTTTTGTGTTCTCTCCTAGTTAACATACGCTAAGCCAAACCAAAGGAAAATATTTTATAGCATTTGGTGGCAAGAGTAATCAGTAATAACAAAGTGAAATGAACACTTACGGTTATTCATGTGATTTCTTCTTAGAAAACACTTGCCATAGTGAGATATGACTCTTGTACAAAAATATTTAATACTAGTAAAAATTATCTTCAGGCATTGAAAGTTGCCTGAAGGAATACAGACAATGTATGCACGACAATTTTTCTGAGGGATTTAACTGCAACTGACAATGACACTATCAACTCATTCTAGGAAATGGTCCAAAATATTTGATAGAAGCTAGTCATTGTACAAAATTGACTTATTTATCGCAGAACTATGCCAAGAACTGAAAGCATACTGTATTTGAGAATACACTGGCAGAGTGTTGCTGCTTCATAATTCTAACTGAAAGACAGAGCCACTTAGCATTTACGGAATAAAGGGAATAATGCTTGTGATTATGACAAAATTTATTTTAGTAGCTATCCTTAAGAAACACATTCTAAAGCATTTTAAAATTAACTGGTTTTGAAACCATGTATGTCAGTATTCTCATGGTGATCATTTTGAAGAGTCTGCTGATATGGAATATTGGTGATTGATGCAGAATACATTACAAGCATTAATGTAAAGAAAACACCATGCAAATAATCTGTGCTGAAAATATTGTGGCAGCTGCATTCTCACAAGCTTGGTAGTTCAGGGTGCTAGCACCACAGTCATTTTATCACTGCTTTATTGAGAAATAGAATCCAGTCTTTCTAACAGACTGGAGGAGGTCCAAATGCCAGCTAGTCTTATGGATGCTTATGGGACATTCATTGTTCCCGTTTCTATGGGACTATCCTCTCTGAGACTGTCCTCTCAGTCTAAAGACCAATCCTCTCTGGAACAGAGCTAACTAAAAATGCTTTCAACAAAATCTTTTTTCATTAAAATGGCAGTTTGTCAAAACTGCAGTTTTTCATAAGCGTCTGTATAATGGGTTTGGGGAAAACCTTCTTTTCATTCCAACACATATCACTGGTCAAAAGTTAAAAGGTTGAGGGAGATGGAAAGAGGTATTGATATGCCCAAGGGTATTTTTTTATCATTTCCATATTGTAGGTGGAATTTTCTGACACTACTTTATTGGCATGGTGCTTTGCATCGCTGCCTGAGGAAACCTCTAGGGAGGAACAGGGTGTGCAGTCCAGCTGGCTCGGTAGAGCTCACACTTGATGCTATCCCAGTTTCGCTCATGGCCGTCATTGTGCCTCCTAGTGGGTCTCCAAAAGAAAAGGGCTCCAGTCCATGATTACCACAGCTCTACACAAAACTTTGATAATTGTATGGACTGGCACAGGCTTCTTCAATTCCACATATAATGTGTAATGTATAAATTGTTCTAGTCCTTGCAGCTGTGCGATAAATTCCTTGAATGGATGAGACCTGGCAATACAGACTATGGTTTATCATTGCCTTAACGCATGAGTTTAGGATCCTAAAGGCTGCAGGTGCATTGCGCTCTTCAACCTGAGCTGTGGCACGCAGCATGTTCAACATGCAGAAGAAGCAAAGAGCACATTCCCTATCTGCTTCCAGTATGTCTTCTCTTATCACATCTGCTGTCCCTACCCGAGCCAGCAACAAGCTGGCAACGCAGACAGCACAGACTCTCCTCTGCTCAGGCTTCTCCAGAGTGGTATTGAGGAGGGCAGAGAAGGATCGGACATTGAAAGTCAGAGAGAAGAAAGCTGAAATACAGGGCAGGGAGGTAGATGGATCTTGGAGCAGAGTCTGTAGGGTAACATGTGAGAATGTAAAGGGAGAATCCAAGCAGGGTGATGAGAGGCAGCCCTGCGTCTCAGGCACGGGCACAGCAGAGATGCCCTGGTGCCTCAACCTTAGTTTCTCACACTGATGAGGTAGATTTGGGGGTTGAAGAAGACCGAAAGAAGCAGAGTGGAAAAGGAGGAATAATTAATGGTATTTAGATTGTGCATTGAGTATCTTGGCTGCTGACTTCCGTGGTTTTTTAAATGCACGTGTGTCCTGGTTTCAGCTGGGATAGAGTTAGTTTTCTTCTTAGTAGCTGGTATAGTGCGGTGTTTTGGATTTAGGATGAGAATAATGTTGATAACACACTGATGTTTTGGTTCTTGCTGAGCAGAATTTACACCAGTCAAGGACTTTTCAGCTTCTCGTGCTCTGCCAGGTGCACAAGAAGCTGGGAGGGAGCACAGCCAGGACAGCTGACCCAGACTGGCCAAAGGGCTATTCCATACCGTATGGCGTCATGCTCAGTGTATCAGCTGGGGGAAGAAGAAGGAAGGGGGGGGACATTGAGTGTGATGGCGTTTCTCTTCCCAAGGAAACGTTACGCGTGACGGAGCCTTGCTTTCCTGAGGATGGCTGAACACCTGCCTGCCGATGGGAAGTAGTGAATGAATTCCTTGCTTTGCTTTGCTTGTGTGCGTGGCTTTTGCTTTACCTATTAAACTGTCTTTATCTCAACCCACGAGTTTTCTCACTTTTACTCTTCTGATTCTCTCCCCCATCCCACTGAGGGGGACTGAGCGAGCGGCTGGGTGGTGCATAGTTGCTGGCTGGGGTTAAATCACGACAGTCCTTTTTGGCACCCAGCGTGGGTGGAGAATGGTACTTAGCAGCCCTAGGTCAAATATGGCAAGACTTTTGTGTAAGTATGCAAATTGCTGTAAGTTAAATTGTATCATGGTAAGTACTTAGACAGGGAGAACTTCCTGATGTTAGTTACTGTGGCTTAAGGGTCCTTTGAGGCATTCTCACTTTATACTTAAAACCAGTACCGCTTATCATTTTCACTCCAAACAAGTTGTCTAGCTGACAGTTTTAAGCAGTCTCTCATTGCACTTCCCTCATCGTCATATTTAGCAGCTCTATACCATATAACATTTTACTTGTTCTTTTTATGACCAGAGGAAAATTTGTGTGTTTCTTGGATAAAAAAGGATAAGAAAGCAATAAATTTTAGGGTATAGGAGGTACTAACGAACTGACTAGCATGGCAAGAGAGGAAAAGCACTCCCATGAGACCGAGCCAAGCTATAAGCCAAAGGATATAATTTTATGTTCAGTGAATAAACATTTTTTAATGGTTTCTTGGTAAGTTTTGCCGTTACATTGCTTATGCTTAATTTGCCAATAGCAGGATTAGTAAGCCATGTGAAATGGCTTGTTCGGACTACAGAAAATAGCTTTTATAATTTAATTTTTCTGCCAGGAGTACAGGGAGGAACACAGGTGGTTGTAGTAGAGTAGATACATCCAGATTGCATACAGATAGGGCAGAGGAGTAAAGAGAATTTGAAACACAATTCTGGAGTTAGAAGCCAGCACATGGAGATTTCCTGAAATTTTCTTAGGCTTCTAGGAGGATTCATATATGAACCTTTTCAAAAGGAAAGGAGAAAAAACTTTTAATTGTATTTGTCCAAAACTAAAAATGAAATCTTCCTAGAACTGACCTTACGGAAGGCTTCTATCAGTGTTTGCTCCCAGTGGCCTCTCATGAATGCCTGTATCATTTACTGAAGAGTAAATGGCATTATTTCATGCTGGTTGTGATTTTCTCTGGATCTTTTCTAACTGGTATGGAAATCACTGTGTTATGTATTTTATCTAGGGAAGCCCTGGGAATTACCAGGAGAGTATGTATAAGGAAGAGTGTAGTTCATGTACAAATACAATAGCAATACCATCCAGAACAAGCCTTCAAACATTGCACTGGTTCATTTCAAGACGGGATAACCACAGGAATGGCAGTAAAATATGTGATCTAAAACCACATTTGTGCTCAAGTTCTTAGAGAGGTCAGAGGTTGAATAAATTGCATATGCCATATGAAAGAAAATTCCTTAATATTATGGGCTTCGTGTTTAAATCAGCTGCTGTCGCTTTATTTCAGTCCTTCCTGTCTTCTGTCTACAACGTTGCAATAGAGCCTTGTATTTGATTTTTAACACTTATGCCCCTAGTTGTGAGAATCCTGATTTTCTCTACTTCTTTCACCCTGAATAATATGGGTCATCACTATCTTCTTATCTCAAGTGAGTTCAAGGGAATGCTTGTCCCTGTTTTGAACAAGTCAGCATCCTTCATCTCTTTCTGCTGCCGTCACCACCACCACCACCATTATGAGAGGAGATCCAGTTAAGGAGAGATGATCTGATCTTCCCCAGCAGGCTGAGTCTGTTATTTCAGGGAAGTGTATCCCTACAGCTGCCACAGAACACACCTATTCTCTTGCCTGTTGCTAGTAAAGTAATTAAACTGCCTATTACATTAGTACTTTCAATTAATATTTATAATCTATTTCTGGTTAAAATTCACATTGATTTGTATTAATGTTACTTACCTATTAATTCCTTGAATTGATTAAGGTGAGTAGACTGCCATTTTCAGTTCCTGGACGTGGTACAATGTCTTCAGCCCTTGTAAGAATACAGCTCCTCCTGGAGTGTGACTTAGTGTAGCACCCTTTTAATAGAGCCTCCCTTTCTGCTGCTTCACTATTACCTTGTGCATAACAAACATTTCTGACTTATGGAACTAGCAGGCACCTTACCAGCAGAAATAAGAAGCTTTGGCTTTGTCTTAAGAAGTCTTTTCTGGCCGACTCACTAGAGAAACTTTAAACTTTCAGGATAGCTACAGAAGATAATAAAATCAACAACCAGAAAGGATAAGTTGCTTAAAATGCATTTTCAAGGAATTTAGAACTGTCAAGCTGCCACTTTACAGACTGAAGCAATACAATAATCATGACCCAAATAAATTTTGGGTTACTATAACCAAAGAACCTAGTGCAACAAGTAAATAAATTATTTAAATTTACATTCTGTTGTCTTAATGATTAGTGAAGGGTCTTTAGAAGATTTTTTTTCAAACTGTTAATTATTGCAGCTTTCAAGCTCTCAGAAGGAAGCCTTGGATAGCTCTCTGAAATTAGCAGAGTTACATCTGGCAAACTAAAGGACTAAGAGCTGGTAATGCAAGAGGTACACATGAATTTACCTGGTAATTCTAGAAAAAGGTTTGATCAGCCAACTTGCAAATTATTTTGTATATGCAACAAGTTCAGGAATAAAAAAGGCCAGGGGAGCATAATCCCAAGTTCAGGAAGACTCCCAAGGCTAATGAGATAGCGTAGTGCTGTCTCAGTCATCAATGAGAGCCTAAAATATGACCTAAAGTCCTTGGAAAATAGTTTTTTACCTCTGCCAGCACTTTTGGAGTAGTGTCACAACAGAATAGTAAAAAACAAATAAAGTAATGTGATATAGTTGTGAAGGGACTCTCTGATTTCCTGAAAGAATAGGCTGAAGGATGATCCAGGCAGCTGCTGCTAGTCCCAGAACCTGTGTCCCCAACACACCTTACATTGACAGTGCTCTAAGTCATGTATTTAAATGTGAAGATGCTGTTACTCTTTATGCTTAATGGATTTGGATACCATCCATAGTATTAAACTAGTCCAGATTAGAAATCATAGGAATAAACATATGTAGCTGTTGGTGATTGCTAGAGGTGTGACTGGCAACTCAGATGTGTGAATGGTGTAAAGAAATTCATTGCCAGTGAGCGATTCTGGACAAGACACTGGTCACATACTTTGGATACAAGAAATCCTGGAAAAGACTACCTGAAATACCTAGAAATCTTCATCTCAATTCCTTCTCATCGTGAAGGACTGGCCACAATCAATCTTAAAACACCCTACAGATTTTCATGGTCCATCGTGCCATCTACTCATTCTCATATGCCATTTGATAAGCAAGAGCATTAAATAAAGGTTTATAGCACCCTGCCCACATTAGCACCCAAACTGTTTGCAACTTGGGTGTTTCCTACAGCAAATTCATGTTTGTCATGACTACATTGCAAGATAGAGATCTAAGTAGCTTCATCAGCGATGTGCAGCACTAAAGAGTACTGCTGAAGCTCTGAGAAGGAGTATGTAGCAAGTCCACATGCACAGTTTGGGAAAATCTCTCTTTAGCAAGGAAGTGGGACCTTTTTGTTACAGTATTCTGTGGTTTGACATCAGACTCATTTACTAGGAAATGCAAGGTCTTGACGTTCTCCCAGCTCTACATTTCTACGATCTGTACTAAAATATTCCGATGTTTGGACATTATAATAACTTGCATTCACATGATTTTTGATTGCTTATTTTATTCCAACTAATTCCAAAAAGTTTTACCTTTGTATTATACTAGGACAGGCTA